TATATATATAATATATATAATGATATATATAATAATATCATTAATTGGAACGATGCTTTTACATATTATTATGGAAACGTATATTTGATATATTAATTATTCGTAAGGCAAATTTAAAAGTCGGTAGTTGGAGTTCGTCGAAAGGAAAAAAAATTTGATTGGAGTACCTAGATTATATCATTTTATTTTTTTAATTTTTATTTTATCTTCTCGTTTTATTTTTTTTTTTTATTTTTTTTTTATCTCGACGAACACGAACTAGCAAAACTGCTACGACAGACCTATAAAATTACAGAGAGAGAGAGAGAGAGAGAGAGAGAGAGAGAGAGAGAGAGAGAGAGAGAGAGAAATCAACACGAAGTTGTGCGCATAATCCCGTGGTACTTCCGATATACATTACAACTTCAATTTACAAATGTGAATGTAGCGTAGATTGCAAATCATGAGAAACAAGTCGTTGGTTAATTAGCTTCTCTCAAATTCAACCCCCATTGAAATATCTGAAGCCTAACACGCAGTTCGTGTTAACGAGGCCAGCTTTTCACTATATATATGAGAACCTCTTTTCATCTTCAAGAACATAGCAAATAAATGTTTTCAACAGGAAGATATGTAGCATAAGAATAATCTTTTTTTTTTATTGACGTGAGATTTATAGTATATCAAAGTTTTTTTTTTTTTTTTTAATAATGTCAATCGAGAACGAACAACATTTGTTATTTGTTCGAAATTTATACGAAATTTGAATGAAATCAATCGCCTTCGGACAACTAAGTCATATTTTATTATTTTATTTTTATTCATATTTTTCATATATTTAATAGCTCCAGGGAAATAAACAATTTTAAATGCAAATTCGATTTTACCTGTCGGATAGACTAAAATAGTAGGCCTCTTGGATTGAGGAATTGTTGGCACTGTAGGTCGACCAGCTCTCACGTCGGCTGACATTTTTTTAATTGATCTGTAATAAACAACAACAAACACACGATATTTTATTGTAATAACATTAATCGAATGGAAAAGTTTTGAGTTCGGCATGGAAATGACATTTTATTTTGTCGATTAAGTTAATTTTCATTTCTTTTTTTGTTGGACAAGGCTCTGAAAACTTTTCAAACCACGCTTTTAGGTATATAAAAACGAAGAAATTTGTTTAACAAACGAAACAAACGAATTATCTGATTCCAATAGGAAATATATGTTAAAACTCATCGTTATAAATTCATTAGATTAAATAAAAGATCAAAATTGAATTTTTAAATTATGCGTTGGTTCGACGTAAACTGTGCATAAAATGCATTTTAATTATTATGCATATAGAATTTTTCTTTTTTTTTTTTCTTTTCTTTTATTGTTATTTTTATTTATTTAGTTACCCATTTATAAAACAATCTAGAGAAAATATAATCTTGATACGTAGGTGTAGTCTGAAATGTGTTATCGGAAAGTAAAGGAAGGGCACTTTAGGATTGAATACTAGGGCAATGAATGAAAGGGCACAACTTTATCCTATTTCCTGTAAAAAGGTCATCGTGCAAATTTGTCGTGTAATTTTATTGCAAGTTACGTATTTACCTTTTAAAATGCAATATCAAGCTATGACGTAACTTCATTACCATGTAAACGGACAAAGGAATGAATGAAAATAAAAAGAAAAAGAATATATGGAAATATAAAACTAGAGAAAAAATAAAATGATTAAAAAATAAAAAAAAAAGAACAAAAATTTAATTGATCGTTAGGTTAATTACGACATCATATTTCAACGTTTATATTCCTTACCGCCAAACCATAAAAAAAAGTCGCATCTTTGACGTCTCGAAAATGATTTTACGATGAGGAACGATCAAAGAATTCAAAAGAGAAAAACCGGTAACGACTTTGCATCGATCCAATTTTACTTCAAATACTTCAAATGGTTGCTTGATATGCTACATATTTTTTTTGTGTACTTTCTACACTTCGTTTTCAAATATTTGTACGCGTATGTGTGTGTGTTAGATATCAATGTGTCTTTACGAATAAAATTTGATCGCGGTAGACGCCTGTTGAAAAATTCCTATAAAATTAAAAAAACATTAACACTTACTTTCTATCCTCATTTTCAAATATGTCCAATTAGTTTTACATTAAATAAATTCTTGGAGAGTGTTAAATTAAGAATAAAAAATTGCAAATAAACAATAAACAAACATATATTTTTATTATTAATTTTTATAATCAAGGTGAATATTTTTCATATGAATAGTAATTCACCCGTAAAATAATGTGCATAAAATATTATCGAAATATTCATTGTATATATATATGTTTGTTAGAATTTCAGTCATGACGTATATTACTTGTTCGATATTCGATATTTTAAATTCGATTGAGGTACTTTGCATGACTAATATACATACGTTTCGAATCTGTCATTATATTGAGGTCTGAAGACCTATGGGTTCCTGTTCAATGAATGATATTCACGTAATTAGCTTTGATAGACTTATCATAGCTCGAAAGCAACTATAATACCTAAAATGTGATCTATCTTCATCCAACCTTCTATCATCTTCCTAATCCAGATATGCATATATATATATATTGTATATATGTGTACACATACACACACAGAGACACATATACACACGTACGTATAGAATCTGGTATCGTTATCAAGGTTTAAAGACCCTCAAGCCCTCTTCACCGAGTGATATTCGCAAAATTAGCTTCGAGGCTTGTCATAGTTTCAAAAGCTCTAATATTTCTGATACAATATAGATCTTCATTAATTATTATAAATGGAACACTTATACGTGACTATTAAATTTGACGGTTTAATAGATAAATCGTTAAATCGTTTATTAAGAATTATTATTATCATTATTATTGTTATTATTATCGCATTGTTAGATAATTTCAATAAAAAAGAAAAAAATAAATCATAATTTCAGTATAGCGTAGGTTGAAATGTCAATGGTAACAAAAGATTTCTAGAATGGTTTTAATTATAAATGGTGGTGGTTGAGAGGAGAGGGGCGAGGAGGTAAAGAAAGAGAAGCCGATATCCAATGAGAGTTGACTTCCAACGTTTGCTACGGAGAGATTGTTTTCAACGGAAAGTGTTTCATTCAAAACGTAATATTATCGCTTTTTGAAAACACGATAATATATAGAAAATATATGGACCGTTTATTTTGAAAGTGGTGCAAGTCCATTTTCTGTTGTTTTGAGAAAATTCAAACTTTGCATATTGGTTCATTTCAAAATATTCATTAATTATATCAAGTTTGACAATGTTTCTATTAATTTATCGATATGTAATTTGATTATATACATTACTTTTATGCTAATTTAACTAAAATAATGTATATTTACAGGCTACAAATGGACTTGCATCACTTTCAAAATAAATCAACTGTTTCAAAATAAATCAACTGATTAAAATCGTTTAATTTCAGTTTTGAAAAATTAAATATCACTTCAAATATATTTCATATTAATCCAATTTTGTTTACAAATAATAACAAGAAATAAAGTAGAAGTATTATTTTTTATTTTGAACGTTAATTATATTGATAAATTCAACATTATTAGTAGTATTTATTTATGCTCTTCATGTGGCAGTGTTTTTAAATGTTTATGATGCACAGGAAGTAATAATAATCAGGTTTTTATTGCACAACTTACAAAGTTTTTTACAATGTCTTATCATTATATCACATATAATTATCTCACATTTTTGGCTTGCTCTTATCACACCTCTCGTCTACCTCTAATTATCACCACTCTTAAAATTATACTATCCAAAAATTATAACTACCCCAAATCTCACTCGAGTTCGTC